TTTTCATTCTAAACATTTTTTTCTTTACCTTCACTACCTCAAAATGCAAAATTAATTTTCAGAGTCAATGGCATGTACCTGGTTCTTATTTTCCCCACATAATTTTCTGATATGTTGTAATAGTTCTTATAACATGATTAGTGTGAATTGTGAAAGTAACAATTGACTTCAACTTCACATCTTTTTCGGTTAAAGAGTTTCAGACAGTTCTGTTGCTATTTCTACAGTACCACTATACTGTTTCCTCAAAAACAATTTTAACACATACCTGTAGGCAACAAAGACAAAACTTGAAATCTGCATTCATTTCTTAAATGTAGCAGGTTGGTAAAAACTAATTTGTGTTCTGAAAGTTCAACCAGGCCAAAACAGACAAAGACTAAAACATAAAACTGACTCCAAAAAACAGCCACACAGGAAACACGGTCAACTGAAGGTTTCCCATTGTTTTAAGATTTTGGTTTCACTTTACGTGAATGGGGCTGATAAACAGAGTCCTAACTTCTTCGCAAGCGCGACATCACACAGCAGAACAACGTGCACAACCCTTTACAACCCCTCCATCCATTTCTAACCCCTTCTTCCAATTCAGGGTCTTGGGGGGGGTAGCTGGAGGCTGTGCCAGCAAGCAGCGGGCGCAGGGCAGGGCACACCCTGGATGGGACGCCAGTCCACCCCAGGGCAGACACACTCACACCAGGGCCACGTTTCCCAGAAGACAATCAACCCACCGGCTTGTCTTTGAATTGTGGGAAGGAAACAGGAGCACCTACACGGACAAGGACAAGGCGAACTCCACACAGATAGCACTCCAGGTCTGGATTTGAACCCAGGGCCCCAGCATTGCTTGGCTCCTTTACAACCGTTTGTGCGATTGAAATTGATATTTGTGATGGTTCACTACAGATCCAGTGAAATCAGGAAAAACGATGGAGGACACCGACAAGGACTTGAGAGCTGACAAGAACAACAGTTCGAGTATTTGGCGGTCTGCGGATTTTTATGCATGTTATTTTATTGTGCATTGTGGTGCTTATGAAGGAATTATGAGTGCGTTTTTAGCCTTATTCAAGTACATTGTTACCATGAATGTTACACACGGGCAGATGTATATTGAGACAAGTGTGCACTAATAGACTAACAGTCACGGTCATTTAAAAAGTGTATGTCAAGTATATGAACTGCCAACGAAATTATAATTAAATAATAATTAATTATTAGAATTAAATACGATGCAGAATGCACTGGGAGTACGTGCAATGCCCACACTTCAGCCACCTCCCTCCCTGCAACGCTCCTAGGTGAGCTTGTTCACAGAAACTGTCGCAGACATTTTTTTTTTTAATTGGTTGGTTTGTTTTCTCATGGCCTGCCCTGCGTGAGGAAGCCACAGCATGTGCGCTTATCCCCCAGCGACCGTGGGACACCAATCCACTGGGACCAGAGGGCAAAACACCAGAACGATGATAATGACTAGTCAGCCAATCTGTAATTTGCAGTAGGGAACGGGAAGGTAATGAAAAGGCAGAAAATTACGGCGCTGCATGTCTAACCCCTCAGTGAGTAACAGTGGTCACAGGATGAGCCTCGGGGCCTCTGCAGGACTGACTTCACGGCACGAGGTGAAGGCCTGTGCACAGGAGAGCCGTCCAATGACAGGGCCT